CAGGAATGCAACAGGGCCAGCTCCAGGAGTGGTGGTAGAATATTCCTCCTAGGGTAGATAATCCACAAGCTGGTAAATCACACAATGAAGGATGCACAGAAAAAACTACAGAGATGGCAGGAAACGTTCCCTTTTAAATTCAGTGTTAATTGAACTGCAATGTAATTGAAATTCAATTTAAATTTGTAAAAATTTGTATGGCATTTACATTTTGATAAAGGAAAAGGAACGTGCACGTAAAGCCATATGGATTTTAACCCAGACTTTTTAAAATCCCTGTTAATATTTGCTCATTAAACTCAGTCATAACTAAGTTCAACCTACCATAACTACTAGTAAAGTCGTTTTAGGCATAACTACTAGAAATACAATAGACATAACTAGTAAAGGCATCACCAGGAATCTCCCTCCCTCAAATTTCTGCCGTTCTGTGATTCTGTGACTTTACACAAGTGATAACAAGATGCTGCTTTGTTGTTAATGGAAAAAAAAATCTCATTTTGCAGCCAGCAGCACACGTGCTACTCCAGGGAAACTGTGTTACATGTCACAGCTGGTCAACATCCCAGAAAACAATTCATTTCATACTGCAAATACAGTTCTAACAGTATCTGTGCTTTATATCAGCAACACCACAGTTCAGCTTTCTAGAAAGCCATGAAAAAAAAATCCCATTTTGACTATGATGAATCCTTAGCAAACAGCAAATCAGCCTTGTCATTCTAAACATGAATTGGATTTGTGTTTCTGCTTTGCCTTTTATACTGAGCAAGTCCTGGCCAACACGGGCATCCATAATTTTACTTTTCTTATCTCTTTTTTTTTCCCTTTTCTTTCTCTTTTTTTTTAATCTCCAGAGCAGCAATCCTTTCTATTTGAACTGCCAGCTGTATGGAAGGGCTGATGACTGCCTCGTGCTGCTGAAGAGCTGCTTGGCCAAGGTGGGCAGGGCTGAAGAGCTGCCTTTTCTAAAGCCTCTCCTGGGGCTGCCTCTCCACAAACGTTCCTTCCGCAACGGCGTTGGCTCAGGAATTAAAAAAACTTCCTTCCGAAGAGCAAAGTCCTAAACAAATGTTCAAAACCACGGCCTCGAGTTTAGCCTCTGATGTTTCACTGTGTGCTTAAAATCATTTTAATGCTTTTCTAGGACCCAACAGAGACAAATGTCCCCGTGTCTTCGGCGTGCGCGCAGATGTTTGTTCCGAAGAGCTCGAGCCAAGGGGAGCAGATGGGGTTGCTCAGAGAAGGGTTTTGTTTCCAAAGTTACAGTATCATCAAGTTTTGGATTGGAAGGAATATTTTCAGTTGGTTAATTCCCTTTCTTTGTAAAGCTGCAGATTTAATCAGCTGGCTTTGGAGCAAGAGCCCCTGTGCTTTGGGTAGCTGGGTGTGGCTTGTTGGGAGGACTGATGGTGTTACTCCTGCTCTGCCAGGGAGGAAAACCCACCAGCAAGGCAAGAATTCCCTGCCCCAAGTCACATCTACTCCAAGACAACTGCTCTGGCAGTTTTAATACACATTTAAAGTACATTTCAGATTTCCAAAGGCAGGGAGGGCCACGGGTGAAAGACAGAATCAGGGCCCACTTGTAAGCGCTACTTTCTTTTTAATATAGTTATTTCAAATTACTGTAGCAGGAAATAATCTTTTGAGTTGTGTCATCTCATTTTGCAGAAGAGTCCTGGGAAATCACTCTAAGGCAGGGTATCAGTGCAGCTCCCTGGGCCTCAATTAATTGACTGAGGTAGGCAACATATATCTGATGAGATGTGCCAACGTGGTTTCTGCTCATCCCACTAAGGTTGTGGTGAGGTAATGAACAATGGGATGTTATTTTTTTTAATTTCCTGTAAAAAAACCCCAGCTGTTTGGTCTGAAAAACATGTAATGTGGTGTGTAGGAAAGGTCACCTGCTGTGTGGGTGGATTTTACCTCATGGCTGCTTCTCCAAATGCAGTGTAACGAGTCGTGACGTTGGCTTGAAAATGTTGCAAACGTGCCATTTTTTTGAATTTCCATGCAAATGCATTTTGAATTCAGAGCTAAGATGATAATAAATCAGTATATGGATGCTTTCTAATATTTCCCTGTTAACTATCATAACCCTGGAGGTCCTTGTTAAACACAGAATAGGGTTGACTTGCATCACCTCTGTGACGCCCGTCCCTGTGATTTGCACCTTGAGCCCATGGAGAGAAGTGACTGGAGCAGGGAGCTGGGCTGATCTGATACTGGGTTTCTGGATTGGAAGCTGGCTAATTTGGGGCTGATTCAAGGAGATCAAGCACACTCCTCTCTACGTTTGTCCATGTTGAAATATTTAAAGCATGGTGGTTTTTAAAGCACCTTAAAGAGTGACTGCTGAGCGTGCAGGTAAGAGAGGCACCAACCCCAGCCACAGGTCCTGAGTGCAGGGTCTCAGTGGTGCTGGGCTTTCCTGTTTCAGTACGTAAGGAAAGAAGTAATGAGGGTTTCCTAATGCCCTTGTGCAGGCATAATGTGTGTGTTCTGCATCTGTGCACATCTGTATTCAGAGAGGTGGAGGTGTTTTGTCGCAGTGCAGCTACCTGGCGTGGCTCTGGCGTGCTCTTTGCAGCTCCTATCCCCACCCAACTTATTTTTCAGGAAAGAAAAGAAAACAAAGAAAGAAACAACTCCAGATTTATCTCCCTCTTGGGCTTTCACATCCATTTTAGTTAAGTTTTCTTTACATAATCAAATACATTTCTGCCTTGGTAAGCCACGATAAACAAGGTTGTCTGTAAGCCAAGAGAGCCAGAGGTAGAGCTTTGAAAATCAACCTCCTCCTTTTCATTCACTGTGCAGGGACCTGGGCAACTCATTTAGTGTTTTGGCAACTGGCTTTGAGCAGGGGATGGTCAGGAGGGATGGAGAGCTGGTGTCCTGCTCACACAGACTGTCCT